GTATGTCGGTATATCGGTAATATCAGAGAGGGAAGACCGCACAATGCTCTCACCACCGCCAGTCCTCGCTATTGGACAATCCTGCATCACTTCCGGTTCTTCAACTTCCGTTTGCCGCTTAACCAATAACTGACGCGTTTCGTCAGTTCCGGCCTTATTCGTAGGGAGTGGCTATGTGGTGCGGCATCACACATTTATAGTGTGTACGATTGATTCACAGACATGATCATTGGTTACCACGATCTGTCATTACTAATTGCCATTTACGGCTGGTGGAAGTCCGTCGCCACTAGTGCACTAATGAAGGGCAAAAATTACTAAATGTGTGTATATGTATTACACAAATCTATCACTAGATATGAGTATAAATTTCAACATTGTTGGGCTTTTACAATATCATTGACAGACATAATTTATTACATAACCAAAAATAATGTTAAAATAAATCTATACATATCTAATTATTTAATTCAATAATATAAAATATAATATAAAATAAAATAAAATGAATGATAATTAAAAATAAACCTAAACAAAAAAAAAATATATATATATATATATATTAAAAATTATTAAATATATAATCAAAAATAATAATACATGTAGATGATATACATCCTTATAAGGATCACAATATCAATTTATAGTACCTGTTGACACTTATTTTGAATATAGTTAAACAATTAATTTTATTCATTTATCTCTATAGATAGTAAATTTGTCCCCTATGTAAATAAATCATTTTATTAATATCAAATGACATTTAACTTCAAGAATAGCTAATGAAGCAATTTATGTCCAGTTCAACATTTAAACCCTCTTGTGTTAATGATTTGAGAAGAAAAATCCATTTCGTCTCTCTTTGTGATAAGTCTCTGACTCTATTAGATCCTCGCCATTTTGGAGGTATCCAATCTACTCCCCAAAATTTTAATGTGGAAGGGTCTTTATGATGATACTTAGCAAAATGTTCTGATACACTATGATCTTTAAACCCTATTTTAATTTTTTTAATGTGTTCTGCTATACGTTCTTTTAGAGGTCGCTTAGTTCGTCCTAAATTAGTTTACAGTGTCCATGTAAACTAATTTATGTAGGATGAACTAAACCTAGATGAATACAGTGTTTTTTATTATTTTGAACAATTACATATGTTCATGACTGACTTGAACCTCAATGATCGGAATATTAGACTGACTTGCAATTTTCATCATAAAGAGATTCTGTTCTTGGATCTCTTTATCTCTATTATGGGAGTTTCTCTTTGTACTAGAACATTTAGAAAGGATACAGCAGCCAACACTCTCCACGCAAGTAGCCATCCTCTGAAAGCTCTGAAAAGGGGGATTTAAATGGGCCAGTTACTCTGCATTAGGAGAAACTGTACCCAATTTAAAGAATTCAGGAATGAGTCCAATCAGATGTATCAAAGATTTCAGGAATGAGGATATCCCCATCGGGCTCTGAAGCTAGCCAAAAAACGGGCATCTAGGAGGGAATGTAGCACTTTACTCCAACAACCAACTAGGGCCTCTAATAAAGATGCAACTTTGGGCCCTACAATATTTATCACCAAATTTGGTTCTCAATGGGGGGGAGATCAGGTCTATACTTTCTCAACATTGGCATGTCTTGACCTCCAACCCAGTAATTGCAAAAACTGATTGCCCTAAACCCTCTATGATGACCAAAAGAGCGTGTAATTTAAAAGACATCCTGGTACACTATGAATTTACTAGAAGATTTATCTCTAATTGGCCATCATATACCACTGGAATGTTTCCTTGTGGATATGCGCATCTGGTGAGTGCGTATTCCTAACAGTTTCACGGCACATCACCAGAATGTTGTAAGGAGCACTTGTCTGAGAACCTCTCAGATGGATCATCATTTCTAAAGCACTTTATGAACTGTTTTTAGGACTGTTTATGATCATGAACACCTAGCACACTGATAAGTGCTCACCAATATCACTTTACTTTGCATTGTGCACGTTTGTCACTTTATATCCACATCTTGGTTAAGTGAAATTTGTATGTATGCATATTTATATTGGATTTTAGGGATTATAGCGCCGCACCCTTTTGTATTCCTTGATTATTCTGGAGGTTTTTTGGTCTGCCTTTTGGTGCTTTGGCTGCTTATTATTGTTGTAGCGCTCACTTATCTTACCATTTTTGTATCTGCTAGGAGAGGTGAGTTTGATAAAGTCCTTCTCCAGCATGAAAAACGTTGGATATATAAACTTGGTACCTTAATCCTGAACGGTCTAAATAATTAGATGAATTTGGGAGTCTTTCTTTCCTACTAATGTTGCCACTTTCTAAATTCCTTAGGGGATATTTGATTATGTAAAATTTAATTTGTGCATTTTTTGCTCCCTGGGCTCTTTATAATCAGCTCCCAAAGAGGTGGTCCTCACTATAATGGTGGGGGAATCAATATTTTATTCCAAAAGCTCACTGGGGTGTATTTTATAGGTAATGATAGCTGATTTGTATCTCCACACTGGTGCTCACTCGTTTTGAGAAATGATCTGAGTTCTGATTCAATAAGAGTAATTGGTAGCAGCTGAGGTTGCTTAGGGTGCTATTTACTGTTAAAATTGCCTCATTATGAGACTGAATCTATAAATTAAGTAGTTGAGAGCGCCCTCTACTGGTCTTGAGAAAGCCTGTGTTCAAGGCAAACAGGCGAAATGGGTCGACTGTAGTGCATACATTAGGATGCCAGAGACTATGTCTCGATGTCAGGTTATGCATAACATTCATGTCCAGCTGACCATTGTGGAGCAGCAATGAATCTCCCTATACGCAGGTGTGGACTTGCCCTGAACCCAGAATGAGTGATGTTGAACCAGCACAGAGCTGGGATGCTGAATTGACCATGAGGTTGTGGCTTACCTTGTGGCTGTGGTAGCAATCTGCACGAGAGACAGTGTCGGTGCAATCCCATATCTGTCTGTGGACTATTTTGCGGTGAGAATGCCACGACATTGGTGGTATTCTGGACGTAAGTGGGAACTTTACATTGTTATATCCCCTACTTTACTTTACTGCTGGCCCTAGTGGGATATGGCTATCTTGACTGGGTTGCAACCTTAGTCTCTAAGCTACCCCATCCACAACTATTGTGGCCCCATGATCACCGTATGAGGAACCCCTCGTGGTCACATCCTACCCAAATCCTAATACCGAGACTGGTAAATTAGGCCTGGAAACAACAATGCTCCTCTGAGGCAATTCCTCCTGAGGGTTTGGAATGACTGCACATTCTTTCTACCAGAGGGCGCTCTACCTTCTAGCCAACATTAACTATGGTCCTTACTGCTTAATTTGATACCAAGGGATGACCACACTTGATTGCTTTATGAGTCAACTATTCTCCGCAAAGCATCTGGATCTTTGTTATAATGCTTTTCGTTTTTGTCTGAATTTTGCTAACTCATTTATGTTGCTAAACTGGCTGAGGTTTATTGCTGTTTACATACTTTAATATATTTGGCTATATGATTATTCATTTCCCTTAGCCCTAGCTTCCATTATCAATGATCTGTTATCCCCTATGCTATATCCTGACTCTGCTTCCTTACACTACTAGATGCTTGTAATGAATGGGCTAAATGCTTCCTGAAGTGGAGGTTTAGAGTCTTGGGCTATATCAATCTGGGGACTTGACATTGTGTACTTATAACATCATACCCGGGTCGCCTAATTTTTAAAGTGACAACATTGTCATGTTTTTAATAGTGAAGGGTGGGAACAGAGTTTAACTTTTGTATATGCATTTGCATAATGTTTTATTACGTGGTTTCAATAAAGCTATAGTTTCAGTTAAACTACTTAGCTCACACAGTAGTACCTTCTTTCTTTATGGGGACTCTTCCCTATAAACATTTTTCAGTGTACCAAAAAAACACATACCTCAAACGAGGGTAGCATTACACATATTAACACTGAAAGATAGTTGCCTATTTTCTCAAACAGCTCCTACTCATCCTCTAGATTCTCCAGGTTCTCTTGCAGCTGTTCTTTCTTGTGACCCCTGTATGGTGAGGATGTCAGTCCTGCCAAATTAAATGTGAATGTATGCATAAATTACTTATCAAATGTTGTCAATAAAAGGGATGTTCTTGGAGTATAAGGGAAAGATTCTTATTTAACATCAACACCTGTTTATTTGTGACATTTGGTTTTCACTAAATGTAACATAATATGCATTTTTGAATAATATGGCCAGTTAAAGTGATATTAAACCCAAACCAAAATGTAATATATTGCAGCTTACCAATCATTAGATGTGGTGGCTACACATAAAGGTTTTACATAAATCATCTGAAAAATACTCATCATGCCTCTTATCATATTCCATGGGTTGCCTACTTTCATAGAAGGGGTCATGGGGGGGGGGGGGGGGGTTGTACTATGCTGGCATTTTAGGGCCTCCAAATCTGATAGATAGTGAAGAAGTGATATGAGGAAATATGCCCTTTGAAAGCCTGTATGTGGATAGGCTTTCAAAAAGGCTCTCTGTTTTTTGTTCAATATGTTATCATTATCTATATTTAGGACTTGTGTGAATTACATCATGATCACATCAAAAAAGTGTTCACAAACTTTAAAGCACCACTGTAAATTTGGGAGGGTTCAGAGATTTAAGCGTGTCTTTAGTTATTGAATGTGTTAGTTGTCACTGAACATGTATTTTTGCTAGTATGCATCCCCTACGTAGCTGCTGGTCAGTAATGTCGGTAAGTTTAGTAAAGTAGAGGATTGTTCTGTACGTGATTGGCATATACTGTTATTTTTTACAGATACCAACTTTGTTCCACTTTCTTTGGCTTGATTGCAGCTAATTTGAGGGCAGATTTCATGGTTCAGTTTAGTGTAAAAAAAAAGAACCTTTTTTGGCATCAAACGTTCACCATAGCTAACCCTGGAGAGTTTGACTTTTTAAGCAACAATCATAATTCATAAAAGATTTACACTTTGTTTCGATAGGTCTTAAAGGATTTACCACGTATTGAGGGAAGACCCGGAGCTTCATTACCATCAATGGACTTTGCCAAGCTAGAAGAAGGTCTGCGAAGCAAGTACGATGATATAACACCAGAAGACATCATGTCTGCTGCTATGTATCCAAAAGTATTTGAAGAGTACAAGGACTTCAGCACTCAGTTTGGCCCGGTTGAATGTCTCAACACCCGCCTCTTCCTAGATGGGCCCAAGATAGCAGAGGAGTTTGAGGTATGTGATTCTGTAGAGTTAATGTAACATTGTTGGTAAGAAAAAAAAAAAGATACACTATACCCAGCCAACATACTGTTGCCAGTTTACATACAGCCACAAAGGTCTTGGCCCTTGCCATATGCATCGATTTAAATATAAAGTGATGAAGTGTTGTGTATATTTTCTTAGTATAAAATATAGGAATCCTTTCATATGTTTGATGAGAGGACTGATTGTCACTACAGATAGGAAAAAAAATCCTCGATCTCTTAAATAGATAATACCATATAAATACAGTATATATATATATATATATATATATATATATAAACAAAAGATACTAACATTGCTGAAGTCTCTACAAAATACCAGTAAAGGTGGAATGCAGTGGAAGGAGCAGTTAACCATGTAGTACAGTATGTATTATTTCCTAACAAAATGTTTTACTCAATAGATGTTTTGTCTTTATGATGTTTTTAGGTTGAATTAGAAAGAGGAAAAACTTTGCATATTAAAGCACTTGCTCTGGGGGATCTGAACAAAGCGGGCCAAAGGGAGGTGTTTTTTGAGCTCAATGGTCAGCTCCGATCTGTACTTGTAAAAGATACTCAGGCTATGAAGGTAAGAATTTCCATGCTATGAATGCAGGATTGAACGTGGAGAGCTGTGAATCTAGAGTATGATGCTTTTTTGTTTTTTAACCGTTTTTAAATGTACATTGTTTAACCTTTAATTCAGTTTATTGTATGTGGAAGGCCAAACATTTGGCCTTAAGGGAAACAGGGAAAAGTAGAAAATGTATGTACAGTAGGTGGTATAGGAAAGTATAGAATGGATTGCATGTGACACTGTTAAAAAATGAACAAATGTTTAGTAAATGAGCACGTGTCAATGCATGGCAGACATAACCTAGTTTGCAATATACAGTAGCTGTGCACAATTCAATCTAAGGACATGTTTACACAGCTGCTTTGTGGGAAATCATGTTATGTATCTTGGTGTACTATGAATGCAGTTCATTCTAATTTTTGATCATTCTGAATGGCTCCCCAATGCACCTTTATATGGCATGCTAATAGACTACTGTGTGTTGCAGTGCACTGTGATAGCAGCAGGTAATAATGTTTTTGTGCGGTAGGTGAACTATTAAAATAAAAGGGCTGCCTTGGTACAAGGCTTGAAAAGGCACTGCAAGATATCATCCCAGTGTAAATGGGCCCTTTTAAGCCCTTGTTATCATAGGCTGCATTCTGTCACTAGTGCAGTACAATGTCATCACATGACATGGTGTGGCAGTGATCAGGGACACTGACTGGTGACAATATGGAGAAAATAGATTTTTTTTTTTAAACACTGTGACCTGAGTAATACTATGTTACCATAATAACATGATACTACTCTGGGGAAGTGATCTTTATTTATTTATTTTGCACATTATGATTGCCTATAGCAGTGAATTTTAATGCTAAAGGCAAGCATTTAACTGAATCAAATAAATTCATTCAGTGTTTTTTGTTGTGATTGGCCACAGCTAATCATGTGACACAGATGGGCTGTGATTAGCCCAGTCTGTACCATGTGATCACTGACAAATCACACCTAGCAACACAATTGGAGGGGGTGAGCAAAACCTTGGACAGAGGGGTGGCGGTGGACGTGATATACTTGGATTTTGCAAAAGATTTTGACACAGTTCCCACACACACGGCTAATGTGTAAGGTAAAGTCTACGGGCTTGGAAACATCCTTATGTAAATGAATAGAAAACTGGCTGAAAGATCGTAGTCAAAAAGTAGTGGTTAATGATTCATACTCTGAATGGTCTGGGGTTGTCAGTGGTGTACCCCAGGGTTCAGTGTTGGGACGCTTACTTTTTAATATATTTATAAATGATATAAGGTCTAAGATTAAAAATCCCATTTCAGTATTTTGCAGATGACACCAAGCTGTGCAGTGGAATAGCGTCCTTACATGTTGTCTTCAACTTACAAGCCAACCTCAATGTGCTGTTTACTTGGGCAATGTGGCAAATGAGGTTTAACCACTTGCCCTGTAGAGGATTTTTTTCACACAAATAGAGCTTTCTTTCTGTGGTATTTGATCACCTGTGTGCTTTTTATTTTTCGCGCTATAAACAAAAAAAGACTGAAAAGTTTGAAGAAAACATTTTCGGCTATAAAAAAAATATATCGTAAACTCAAAGTTAGTTATAAATTTAGGCCAAAATGTATTCTGCTACATATTTTTGGTAAAAAAATCCCAATAAGTGTATATTGATTGCTTTGTGTGAAAGTTATAGCATCTATAAACTATGGTATAGATACTGCAATTTACGCCATTTTTTTTGCTATACAGCACTGCACTAGATTAACGGACAATTGCGTGGTCATGCAACACGGTAGATAAATTAAATTTATGTCCTTTTTTCATGCAAATAGAGCTTTCTTTTGGTGGTATTTGATCACCTGTGCGCTTTTTATTTTTGGTGCTATATAAAAAAATATTTTGAAAAAAAAACGATATTTTCTCACTTTGGTCAAAAAAAATCCAAAAAAAAAACAAAAATTTCATCATACATTTAGGCCAAAATGTATTCTACTACATGTTTTTGGTTAAAAAAATCCCAATAAGTGTATATTGATAGCTTTGTGTGAAAGTTATAGCGTCTATGGTATAGATAATGGAATTTACACAGCTTTTGCTTTCTGACTGCTTATCACATTTCTTGAGGTGCTAAAATACCAGGATAGTACAAACACCCCCAAATTACCCCTTTTTGGAAAGTAGACACTCTAATCTATCTGCTGAGAGGCATATTGAGTCCATGGAAGATTTATTTTTTTTCCACAGGTTTCTGAAATATGACAAAAACATTTTTTTTTTATACAAAGTTGTCATTTAAATTATTTATTTCTCGCACATGCCGTGGGTATATGTGGAATTACACCCCAAAATACATTTTGCTACTTCTAATGAGCATGGGGATACCACATGTGTGAGACTTTTTGGGAGCCTAGCCACATACAGGAGCCTGAAATCCAATGACCACTTTGAAAGCCAGAAGGTGCGTAACTTCCTCATTTCACTTCCTCACTACCTATCACATTTTCAGAGGCCCTGAAATGCCAGGATAGCACCAAACGCTCCCAAATTATCTACTTTTGGAAAATAGACACCCCAATGAATGGTGAGTATTTTGCAGATCTAATTTTTTCTCACAAGGTTTTGAAATATAAAAAAAGAAAAAATATGTTTTTGTTTTTTTTTCTTAATTTTCCAAAAACTTGTGGCAACAAACGAGATCTGCAAAATACTCACAATGCTTCTTATCAAATTCCTTGGGGTGTCTATTTTCAAAATGAGGTCGTGGGGGGGTTTGGTGCTATCCTGGCATTGCAGGGCCTCCAAAACTGTAATAGGTAGTCAGGAAGTGTAATGAGGAAATAAAGCCCTTTAAAAGCCTGAAGGTGCTTATTGGATTTTGGGGTCCTATACTTGGCTAGACTGCCAAAACGTCTCTCACATGTGGTACCCCCATACTCGGGAGAAGTAGCAGAATGTATTTTGGAGAATAATTCCACATATACCCATGGCATGTGTGAGCAGTAAGTCATTTAAGGGACAATTTTGTTATTCTTTTTTTTTACATTTTTTTGTCATTTTCCAAAAACTTGTGGTAAAAAAATAATTCTTCTATTGATTCAACATGCCTCTCAGCAAATAGTTTGGGGTGTCTACTTTCCAAAAAGGGGTCGTTTTGGGGGGTGGGGGCATTTTTATGCCCAGCATTAGAAGTTTATGCCACAGATCATTCACTTTTCTAATCACCTAAAGATCAAGCCTTTTCTGACACTTTTTGTTCACATGAAAACAAATCAGTATTTTTTGCTAGGAAATTAATTTAAACCCTCAAACATTATATATATTTTTTAAAGACACCCTAGTGAATAAAATGGTGGGTGCTACAATTTTTCATGTCACATAATACTCAGCCAGTGATTTTTTCAAAAGCAAATAAAAAAAAAACAAAAAAAAAAAAAACTTTTTTTACTTTTAATGCACAAAAACACAAAATATTGGCCAATTATTTGGTAAGATATAAAATATGATGGTATGCCGAGTAAATAGATACCATACATGACATGATTTAAAACTGTACAAATGTCTAAATAGTGGCACACTTGAATAAAAATTGTCCACATATAAGTGGTACCCCATATGGAAAAAGGATGACACCAAGTCCCAAACTATCTTGCCACTGCTCCCTATGTAGTCTGGGCATCTGGGGGGCTTCCCTCGTAAGTCAGAAACTTATAAGTATAGCCTCTTGTCCTCTCACAGGTCTTCTACATCTTGACCCCATATCCGTCATGCTTGCTGGGGAGAAATTGTTTGAATGCAAGGTGGCCAGAAAAATTAATGAGGGATTCATCAACGCAGATTTTTTTGTGGGGAGTATAGACATCTGCAAATTTTTGGTTAAGGTGATTTACGAGGAGCTGAATTTTGTGGAGCCGGTCAAATTCAGGGTCACCTCGAGGACGACAGAGTGTATTGTCGTTGAAATGCATAGAACACATTACACTCTCATATCTATGCCTGGCCATGGAAGCAGAGAACACGGGCATATGATGAATCGGGTCTGTGGACCAATACAACCGCAATTCATTTCTTTTTAGTAATGCTCATGTTGAGGGTTAGGCCCCCAACAAATTTAAATTTAAATTTGGAAACCGTAATGGATTTCCATGTGATTGGTCTGGCAAGGTTTGAATTTGGGTTGGCGGCAATAAATTGTTGTGCATATAAATTGCTTTGATCCACAAACAATGCATACAGATCTTTCGTGAAAAACAGCTACAAAAAAATCAAGGGGAGTAGTTAAATTTGCTTTTTCCACCTGAATTCCTGGTTGGGCAGTGAATGGGGGAAGTACGGGTGCTGCAGAATTTGTGGGCTGCCATTCGGGATTTGCAAGCACATCCAGAAGGATACTAGGGGCTCTACGGGCCTTTGTGCGAATTCTTGGTGGCTGCGGGACAATACTTGTGCTCGCCACTGCACCAGCTTGTACTACACTTATGGGACTCACCATGTCACCAAGTCATACTGCAGTACTGGTATTATTATTATACAGGATTTACTGTATATAGCGCCAACAGTTTGATCAGCGCTTTTCTATATAACGGGATACAATACATCAACAATACAGTTCAATGCAAGAGGGGTAGGAGGGCCTGATCCTGGGAGCTTACAATCTACGAGATATGTGAAAGACCAGGATGTACTAGACCACTAGTGCTCACCAGTTCACCAAAAGGTAGACAACACTAGTACTGGCACTCTGCTACATATGAGAGTCATCAAAATTTACCAACAAGTGCTAACAGAGATCAGGCCTGATTCTGCGAACACTGGTTTTGTGTTCAATGTATCAAGTGACTGTGACCTACTGACACTGCACTTGCTGGGGGAGAAGGGGTGTTAGCGTAGGGGCTAAACACAGGTGCTGGCAGGTGCCGGGGCTGATCCTGCTAACGCTGCATTTTTGGGGATGCTATACTAATGTGAACGCTGGTATAGTGCTGATCTGATCAAAGATATTGATCCGCACAGACACT